AGACACAGCGAGAGAGGGAACACAAGCAGGGGGAGTGGGAGAGGCAGGCTTCCCGCTGAGCAGGGAGCCCGATGTGGGGCTTGATCCCAGGACCCCGGGATTATGACCTGAGCTGAAGGCAGACGCTTAATGACTGAGCCACCCAGGCGCCCCAGAAGCCAACATTTTTAATCACCACATTTAAATCAGGTTTCATATTTAAACCACTCGTATGCACCTTATAATGACTAAAAGCTTTTCTCCCCTTGATCCTATTTTCTTTTGCAACTTAAAAAAAAATAGTAATAACAGTATTTCAGTAATTGAGATATCTCAGTAATTCACATACCCTACAATTCACCCATTTAAAGGGTACAGTGGCTGTTAGTATATTCACAGCTGTGTATCCATTTCCACAGGCAACTTTAGAATATTTTCATCCCCTTAAAAAGAAAACCTTTACCCCCTACAGTCACTGCCCCTCCCCACCCACGATCCCCAGCCCCTGGCAACCACTAATCTACTTTCTGTCTATGATTATCCCATTCAGGACATTTCAATATAAATGGCATCCTACAGTATGGGACTTTTCGTGACTGGCTTCTTGCACCCAGCATGTTTTCAAGGAAGGACTTCATTCCTTCTTTTTGCTGGATGATATTCCATTTTATGGTTAATGTCATGTTCTGTTTACCCAATTCATTAGTTTATGGACATTTGGGTTTCTATTTTGGCTATTATAAATAATGCCGCTATGAACATTTGTGTACAAATCTTCATTTGTGCATGTGTTTTCATTTCTCTTGAGTATACATACCTAGGAGCGGGATTCTTTTGTAACTTATGTATGAAAACTTCCAAATGCATACAACAATAGGCAATGCAAACCACCCCCACCCCCCACTCCCTTCCTGTGCACCCTTCATACAGCTTCAACACTTATCAGCTCCTGGCTACTCTTATTTCACCTACTGTGTTATTTCAAAGCAAATGCCAGGCTTATCATTTCACCTATAAGTAGTCTAGCATTTATCTTTGTTTTTTATTTTAATTTTATTATATTTTAATTTTTATTTTTGAGAGAGAGGAGCAGGTTGGGGATGGTGGCGGGGTGCGGGCAGAGGGAGAGTGAGAGAATCATAAGCAGGCTCTGAGCTCAGTGCAGAGCCCAACACAGGGCTTGATCTCATGACCCTGAGATCATGACCTGAGCTGAAATCAAGAGTCAGATGCTTAACCGACTGAGCCACCCAGGCGCCCCATCTTTATTTTTTAAAACTGTTTTTAATTGATACATAATAGATTAGTTTTAGGTATATAACATAGCGCTTTGTTATTTGTATACATTATGAAATGCTTACCATAATTAAGTGTAGTTACCCTTTCTGTAAGTGAAATCAAACTGTCTTCCTATCTGACTTATTTCACTTAACATAATACCTTGTAGGTCTATCCCATGTTGTTGCAAATGACAAGATTAGGGCTGAATAATATTCCAATGGATCCACACACCATGTCTTCTTTATCCATCCATCTATTCATGGACATGAGTTGCTTCCATATCTTGACTAATGCAAATGTTGCAATGAACAGAGGGATGTATATATCTTTTTGAACTAGTGCTTTTGTTTTCTTCAGATAAATATGCAGAAGTGGAATTGGTAGATGGGAGGGTAGTTCTATTTTTCAATTTTGAGGAAACTCCATACTGTTTTCCAGAGTGGTTGCATCAATTTACATTCCCACCAATAGTACACAAGGCTTCCCTTTTCTCCACAGCCTTACCAACACTTGTTATTGTCTTTTTATTTTTTTTAAGATTTTATTTATTTGACAGAGCACAAGCAGGGGGAATGGCAGGCAGAGGGAGAGGGAGAAGCAGGCTCCTCGTAGAGCAGGGGGAGCCTGATATGGGGCTCGATCCCAGGACCCCAGGATCATGACCTGAGCCGAAGGCAGTCGCTTAACCAACTGAGCCACCCAGGCGCACCTCCCCCCACCCTTTTTTTTTTTTTTTTAAAGATTTTATTTATTTATTTGAGACAGAGAGAATGAGAGAGAGAGAGCACATGAGAGGGGGGATGGTCTATGATGGGTTTTGTGGTTTTTGGTTTTGGTTGGTTTTTTTTCCCCCCCCCCCTTTTTTTTTAAGTAGGCTCCACTCCCAGCGTGGAGCCCAACACAGGGCTTGAACTCACAACCCTGAGATTAAGACCTTAACTGAGCCACGCAGGTGCCCCTATTTCTTGTCTTTTTAATGTTAGCCATTCTGACAATTGTGAGGTGCTGTCTTGTTGTATTGTGATTTGCATTTCCTTGCTGATTAGTGATGTTGAGCATCTTTTCATGTGCCTGTTGGCCATCTATATGTCATTGGAGGAATGTCTGTTCAAATTCTCTGCCCATTTTTTAATCAGATTGGTTTTTTTGTTATTGAGTTGTAGGAGTTCTTTATATACTTTGGATATTAACCCCTTATGGGGTATATCATTTGCAAGTATCTTCTCCTACCCAGTAGGATTGCCTTTTCATTTTGTGATGATTTCCTTCACTGTGCAAAGCTTTTTAGTTTGATGTGATTCCAATAGTTTATCTTCGCTTATGCTGCCCTCGGTATTTACCTTTAAAAGAAAAGAGCCCCTTACACTATAACTGCAATACCATCATCCTTAATATCCCCAAATATTTCCAATGTTCACATTTATCTGGTTGTCTTCTCCGTGCCGCCCCCCCCCCAACCACCACCTCCAAGTTGGCTCATTTAAGTCCCCGTTCTTAGTTTGAGCAAAGGATCCCACGTTGCATGTGGTTGAACGGGCTCAGCAGTCTCTTTCATCCCTAGGGCCCCTTCCCACTTTTTATTTTCCTCCTTGTTTATTTGTAGAAGCCTGGCTGTGCTCCTCACAGGCTGGATTTTGCTGATTTCCTCCCTGTGGCCCTCTCGCCAAGCCCCTGGATTTCCTGTAAACTGGTAGTTAGACAACTGACCTGACGTATTTAGTTTTCTAAAAGAACTATTTAATTCTTTCAGGGAAGCTCTATGGAGCGCCCGGTGTGGACCCAGCTGTGCTCGGGTCACTGGGAGACGGTGGCCAGACAAGCCACCTGCCCTGCCCCCTCCCGTTGGGTTGCTTGTGGGCCAGTCGGCAGGCGGTGCTACCGACCTGGGGGGGTGTGATCCCCCAGGCCCCTGGCCCACCCACCGTGGGGCCTGGCTGGGGCCCGGCGTGTGCTCTGCCAGGCAGGTTTGGGGTCGATCGGGCCCGAGGGTGGTCTGGGCGCTGGGTGACGCCCCGCTGTCCCCCCCCCCCCACAGGCCCGAGCCGCAGCACCCCCCGAGGGCCGCGCCGCCACCCTCCCGTGCTGCGCATGGTCCTGGAGGCGCTGCAGGCGGGAGAGCGGCGCCGGGGCACCTCCGTGGCGGCCATCAAGGTTTACATCCTGCAGAAGTACCCTACGGTGGATGTCCTCCGGCTCAAGTACCTGCTGAAGCAGGCCCTGGCCACGGGCATGCACCGCGGCCTGCTTGTCAGGCCCACCAACTCCAAGGCCAGGGGGGCCACTGGCAGCTTCAAAGTGAGCCTGCTTGGGCTGGAGGGTGGGACTCGGGGAGGCCACAGGGTGGGAGGGCCTGGGCCCCAGACTTTGAGCTTCAGCCCCAGCTCCTCCTCCCTGCACCTCCCCCCACCCCCCAGGGGGGCTGTTCCCTGTCTTCTCTCCTTGTCTTCCTTGTGTCTTCTTGGAAACACCTTCTCCTCCAGGAAGGGTAGTGGTGTGCCTCCTTGGAGAGCCTGCAGGGCCCCGGTTCCCTGGCTGTGTCTGCCTTCATCCCTGTCACGGTGTCCGGTGACCAGGGACTATCTCTGCTGTGTTCACGCTGAGTCCTTAGTGCCCACAGCACCTGCCTGGAGTTCTCCATCATGGACAAGGCACACCCAACCATGGGGTCTAGAAGGTCACAGTTGGGTTTGCTGCCCATGCTCTCTGGCTCTAAACCCCAGGTCTCCAGACCAGGGCTGGCACCTCCCTGAGCCACCCCATCCTCATCTTTCAAACGGGAGGGTCCTGGAGGGGAGCCGTCCAGGGACACCTAGAGCTGAGGGCAGATTTGGCACAAAATCCAACCCCAGCATTGTGACTGTTGGCTGCCACCAGGGAAATCTCAGGGACCCGGACATAGGGTCTTTCTGGTCATTGCTGGGCCCCAGCACGTGGCAGTTGCTCTGACCGTAACCATAGAACACTGGAACTTTCTCAACCTACCGTGTTCCAGTCCCTGTGGTAACCAGGTGGCTGAGGACAACAAGTTCCTCGTAGAACTCCCAGGCAAGGGTCACAGCTTGGACACAAGCTATGGCAAGTCCAGGTGCATAGGGTGGGGCGAAGGAGAGCAAGGTGGGGGGCACTGAGGGTGTGCATGGCTGGGTTAGGCTGCAGGACCTGAGAGCCTGTCAGGAAAGTGGGCTGAGGGGAGGGGAGGGGAGGCGGGGAAGGGAGCCTGGAGTGTCATGGAGTTAGAAATGTGTGTGTGCTAGGAGGGGGGTTGTTTCTGGTCTTGACGGTAATGGGGAGCCATGAGATTTTGGGGACAGAGAGAGCAACATCATTAGAGGCGGGCTCGAGGACGAGACCACCTGTTGTTTGCCAGGGGCCCTCACATCCCCCTGCCTCTCACCCATTTCATGATGGCCCCGCTGTAAAGATGGGAAGACAGGCCAGTGGGAGAAGAGAAAGACTTGGCTGAGTTGCACAGGAAGTTGTGACTTGGAAGGTCCACCCGAGAGGCAAAAGGGGAAAAGGGAGACCTGGGGAGACATGGGGGTGTGAGGCCTGAGGTGGGAGGCGGAGGGGGAGTCAGAGTGCATGCGAAGGTGTGTGGAGTGGGAGGTCGAAGGAGATTTGTAGATTAGCATCTCAGAGGACTGGGGTCAGGACTCAGTGTGTGCTGTGCACTTTACTCCCAGGAGCCTGGCTTTGAGACTTCCAGACTTGGGGGGCAGGAGGGAGGGGGTGCCTGTGCCCTCCTGACAGCCACCTGCACAGGAGGTAAGAGAACCTCGGGTGTGTCTAGGAGACTCAGGTCCCCCAGCTCCTCAATGGCAACACCCCTCCCTCGAAGAGCAATACGGGGATAGAATGTGTCTTTGGCATCAGGCATTTAGGAGGTGGTCATGCATCTGCTCCCCGTGCCCCTGACCACCTTCTTCGCCCCCTCTTTTGGAACAAGGCTTTCCTCTCTGAGCCTCGTGTAGGGTGTAGGGGTATGAGACACTGAGAACTTCTGCTCTCAATTCCACCCCATTCTCTCCTCCACCAGTTGGTTCCCAAGCATAAGAGGAAAGTCCAACCCAGGAAGACCCCCATCATGACAGCCCCCAGGAAACCCAGTGAGGCCAAGGAGAAGGTCCCCAAGAAACCAAGGGAGGCAAAGAAGGACCCTCCCAACCCAGGCGAGGTGAAAAGGGGACCCAGGAAGCTGCGAGAGGTGAGGACGTCTCCTCCCAAACCAGGTGCAGCCAAGGAGAAGGCTCCCAAGAAAGGCGGCCAGACCAAAGACCAAGAGGCAAGAGCAAGTGAGGCCAGAAAGGCCTCCCAACAGCCAGACAAGGCCACACGGGCCCCTCCCAGTGCCACCGGGCCCAGTGGGAAGTCAAAGGTCAAAGGCAGAAGGAAGAGCCAGGGTAGGTGTGTGAGTGGGGTGAGAGATAGGGATAGGGATTTGTGGCAGCCACTGGATATGAGGCGAGAGGGAGGAGAGGCCTGTTCTGGGAAGGGGTTCCTTATCTAGTAAATGTGCCTGAGTACTTGGCTTGCACTGGAAAGTTGGAGGACTCATGGTAGCTGGGGGGTGGGGGTAGGGGGTAGGTTTAGGAAAGGGGAGATACAGAGAGAAGGGGAGCCTGACTCATCTGAGACGAGTCAGGGGAAGCTTCCTGGAGGAGGTGTCCCAGGGAGGACAACAGCCTGTGCAAAGGCCAGAGGCATGAAGAAGGTAAAGGTTTTGAGGAAGTGCAAATAGTTGTGTGTGCAGTGTGGGAAGTAGAAGTGGGAGCCTGTGAAGGGCAGCTGGGAGTCTGGCCTCGATCTGGAAGACCATGAAGAGCCATGGAGGGACTTTGAACAGGGAACAGCTAGGGTACAAGGTATTTTTTTAAAATGTATCATGGCTGCCACGTGGAAGATGGCCGAAAGACTAGAGACTAATAAACCAGTGAGGGGTCTTTGGTGTGGGTGAACACGGAGCAAGGGGGGCTCTGCCTGGTGCCTTGCTCAGGGTGAGAGATGGTCTTCCACCATCCAGTTAATCCCCCAACCATCCCATGAGAGAGATGCTGTTATCCCCAATTGGCAGACAAGGACACCCAGGCTCAGAGTGGCCAACCGACTTGCCCCAGGTCACATAGCCTGTATGTGTCAGAGTGAGGACTGGGGCCCCTGAACCTTCCTGCCCACCAGAAGCTCCTCCTGAAAGGGGTCCTTCCCACATGCTCTCCCCCACCCTCTGACAGGTGGCGAGGCCCACAGGAAAACGAAAGCTGGGAGTCGGAGCGCAAAACCCACGGTCCCCAAGGTAGGTCCTGCGTGACTTCCCTGGTCTGGATCTCCACGCTGAGCAGGCTAGAGCTCGGGCTTCCTACACCCAGCCCCTGGGAGGGTCCATGGAGAAGGGGGTAATTTGCTTTTGTACAAAGCACAGTTCACTTCTGTCTGGCCCTCCAGTGCTCTGAGGATCCTCACCCCCATTTCACATGTAAGACCCAGGCTTAGAGAGGTGAGGTCCCTTGTCCAAAGCCACCCAGAATCCCCCCCCCCACCCTTGGAGCCCACTGGGATTTCAGCTCTATTCCTGTGGGCTCCAAGCTATGTGTCCAACCCTGCCCCACTCTGTCCTCTTGCTCCTGGTTTGCTTTCTTATAGGGCAAGAATGGTACTGCTTCTCCAGCCAAAAAGAAGGAAAATCACGTCCCTAAAGAGGTTGTTGCCCATGCGGCCAAGGCGGGGCCCAAAGCCAAGGCCGCTGCTCTTCCCAGGGGTGGTGGGTCTAAGACAGTGCCTGAACCCCTGGCCAGGAAGACAGAGGCCCCCAAGGGCCCAAGGAGGCCGGGCATGCCCACCAAGGCCTCATCGTCCAAACTGGCCAGTAGGAAGGTGGAGGCTGAAAGCTAGAGCTGGGGTGGAGACACGGAGATCCTGCCCGAGTTTTTATTCCCCAACAAACCGTCACTCTATTTATTTCATTGTAACCTATTTATCAATAAAGGCTTTTTTTCCCCTCACAAATCGGTGTGGGTGGAGGCTGAGGTCCAAGGATTTTGGCCGTCTACGGCTCCTGCCCAGATAGGAGTTCCCTCCCTGGGGAAGACAGGTTGTACAACGTAAAGGGCTGGTTTAGGGGTCCAAGACTTGTAGGGGTCTGTGGAGGCACAGGAGGGGTGTTAAACCCAGCCTGAGATCTGGGACTGCTTCCTGGAGGAGGTGGATTTGGTCTTAAAGGATGGGCAGGAGACAGCTGAGGCGGGGAAGGGCACTGCAGGCAGAGGGCCCAGCATGTGAGGTGGGGCTGGACAGTGTGGTGGAAGGAGGGGGTTTGTGGCTCTGAGAGGAGCATGGGGTAGGGAGGAGGGTGGGGGATGTGACAGACAAGGGAAGGTAGACAGTGGGGGCTAGGCAGGAAGGGTTATAGGCAGGGGAGAGACTAATGTGGTTAGTGTGTGTTTAGAAAGAGCCCTCTGGCTAAGGAGAGGACCATTCAACAAGTTACTGAGCAGGGCCCTGCTCTAATCAACAGGAGGAGAGCGTGCAAAGGCCCTGTGGTGGAAATATGCTTGAAAGGCTCAAAGAGCCTCTGGGAGTTCCATGGGGCTTAAGTCCAATGAGGAGGGACAGTAATGGGAGATGAGGTCCAGGGTTGCTTTAAACACATCTGTGACCCTCTTCCCATGAGGAGGTGGAGTCTATGTCCCTGCCCCTTACCTCGGGCTCCGTGATTGCTTGAACAGTAGAATACAGTGGAAAGGACATTATGACAGTTTCTGGGCCCGGACCTTAGGAGACTGGCTGCTTCTACTCCCCGTGTGTCCTGTTTGTTTTTGTTTTTGCTTTGACACTTGCTCTTAGAACTCCACCACCATGCTGTGGGAAAGCCCAAGCAGCCGGTGGAAAGAAACAGAGGCACCCCGATTGTCAGCCCCAGCTGCCATCCCTGACCAGTTTGCCAGCCAGAGGAGTGCGCCACCTTGGAATCGGAACTTCTAGCTGTAGTTGAGCTGCCTTGGCTGATACCACGTGGAACAGGGATGAGCCTTCTCTGCCGAACCCTGTCCCAGTGGCAGATGCACGAGGACCGTACAGTAGTGCCCCCCACTTTCCCACGGTTTCGCTTTGCATGGTTTCAGTTACCTGTGGGCAGCCATGCTCCGGAAGCAGGTGACCTTCCTTCTGATGGATCACCCGAAGGTCGCTGGTAGCCTAACACTACGTCACAGTGTCTCTGTCCTACCCCTCGCACCTCCTCACGTAGACCTTTTATCAGCTCACATCCCAAGAAGGGTGAGTACCATACAATAAGTTATTCTGAGAGAGAGAGACCACAGTCACATAATTCTGATTATAATATAGTGATACAATTGCTCGATTTTATTACTACTTGTTGATCTCTTACTCTGCCTAATTTATAAATTAAACTTTACCGTGGGTATGTATGTCTAAGAAAAGACATAGTATATATAGGGTTCATACTGTTTGCAGTTTCAGGCTTCCACTGGGGGTCTTGGAACGTATCCCCCATGGAGAAGGGGGGGTCTCCTGTAAATGAATGCTGTTGTTTTAATCCCTTGAGGATTGGGGTGGTTTGTTACGCAGCAGTAGATAACCTAGAACAAGGACCGTGGGGCAGGCCAGGGCAGATCGGGGAGGGCCTTGTAAGCCAGGGGAAGAACTTGGGGTTTCATTGTAATCGTGAGGAGGGGCCGTTAGAAGACAGTGAGCAGCAGAGCGACTGCAGGGGGCACGGGCAGCGGGGAGGCCCTGCCGTGGTCCAGGTGAGGAGAGCTGTGCGTGGAGGGAGGGCTTATAAGCAGTGGGTTCTGGATAGAAGTTTAAGCAGGGTGCATGGGATTTGTTGAAGTATTGGGTGGAAGAAAGGGGTCAAGGATGAGCCTATAGTTTGGGGTGGACGCAGCCTGGTGACTCCACGGTGACAATTTCCTGGGGTGAGGACTCAGCCTGGGCAGAAGGCTGCTGAGAGGAAGTCCTGTTGAGGCGGGACAGCTGAGCCAGGGAGGGGTGGAGAAGGACGGGGTGAACTAGAAGGGAGGTGGAGGGAAACTGGAAGGGACTTGGGAAAGGGGGCAGAAGGGGCACAAAGGGAAACCGACACAGGCCAGCGTGGAGCATCAGACAGTTCCTTCCTGCCCCTGCTCCTTCAGCCCTGCCCGCACTTCCTCGAATCCCGCGTGAGGCTTCTTCTAGCTGTGCTGCCGTCTTCCCTGGGGCATCTGTGGTGTGGCTGCCAGCAGGCCCCCAAGGGTACTGTGAGCAGACGGGAGGGGCTGGGCTGGCGCTTCCCATGGAGAGGGTCTGGCTATGCCTCTCCTTTCACAGTTGGGCAGGGGGTTGTGGGAGGCGCCCGGCCAGGCTCTGGGACGGCACCCCTGGGCCTTGCACCCCCACAAGTTAGGGGCAGGTGAGTACCCCTGGCCTAGCAGAGGCCGGACAGCATCCAGCACTCATGAGACACGGCCAAGTCTCCTCCCCGCTTGAGGACATTGCGCCAAAGTGTCCATGACCTCCCATGACCTTCAGACAGCGAAGGGACGCCTGTCGCTGCAAGGCGAGTCTTCAGGGCCCCAGATAAGAACTGTGGGTGACTCACAGAAGTCTCCCACCTTCTGTGTTGAGAAATGACCCCAGAAACTAGTTTTCCGCCATATGCCAATGTGTTACTAAACCTCAAGAAGGAACTGCATGTTCAGCAGGCATCACAACAGGCTGCAGAATATTTAATGCCACAGAAAGATGTCACTGACATATTGTCGCACGGGGAAAAGGCAGGTTACAGAAGGGGGAGTACACCCTGGTCCCGTATTTACTCAGCCCCCGACCCAGGCGGGCACACGATCTGGACCGGCATTCTCCGGGACACGAACCACGGGGGGGTTAGGGTGGCTTTGATTTCCTGACATTTCTGCAGGAAATGTGTATTCATTCTAAAATCACACCAAAAAAAAAAAATCCCTATCAAATGTGTCAATAACTTAAATTAGAAAATCTGCTGCTTAATGAAAAGGAATCAGTGCTCAGAATAGAAAATTTGAAAAGATAAAGAATCTGTCTCCACCCAGGAGCCCCTACAGGAAAAGGCTATTTTTAAAGCTAAAAATTGTTTATTTTTCTTTTCTCACCTCTGTTCTCATTAATTCTAGAACTGGTATTTGTGGGATTTTGTTTTAAATTGTATGAATTTTTCTGTCCTAGTTTGTATTCTTGATAAATGGGTGCTTCATTTTTTCCCCATTATGATGGAAAAATGATTGAGTTGCTTCTAATTTGGAGCCAGTTCTCTAATGACCTTTTCTTTGGGGGGACAGCGATGAACCTCACCCCCAGCTCAGCCCCAGAGCCCGCTGGCTGGGCTGGGGGTTCTATGGTAAGACCCCAACTAAGGTTAACCATCCTGAGGAGTGGACTGCCCAGCTGGGAACAGTCCAGGGTTACACTGGCCTTGGGGAAACTGCGTATTTCCTCACATGAAAAAATGGGGTTTTCAAGACTGATGAGAAATTCAGGGGGCATGTGTAAACATCAGTTCTCTTCCAGGGCTGTCACCTTGACCTCCCCACACCTTTGGGTGCCACTGTGGAGACTGCATGGAGGAAGCACAAAATGGAGGAATGAGGGGCCCCCGCAACCTGGTTTGGGTCTCCACTTAGAGCCAGGCAGCAGCAATGACCTGTGGGGATTCTTCCACTGTGCTGAGGGCCCATTTCTACATCTGTAAAATGGGCATAATGTTCCATTCCTCACAGGCCTGTTATAAAGGTAATAGGAGCAGGGCCTACCTAGGGGTAGGGGGCACATAGCCACGATGACATCTTCCTGGAGGTCCCATGGGCGCCCTCTAAGCCCAGGCAAGCAGACCTGGTCCCACTGAACCGTGCCGCTGCCTCCCCGGGGCTAAGTCCGGTATCTGCCCAAACCGCATGCAGGAGCATGGCCGAGGCGGGGCTCTACACCCAGCTGCCCCTCTCCTTTCTACTACGAGCACACGTTTCCCTCCTTGGCCATCTCAGGATAAAGGCTGGAGCCCACAGCAGCTTTTCCCATCAGGCTTTTATTACAAAGAAGGTTCCAGAGCTTCCCAGCCACCCCCTCCAGCCCAGCCCCCGTGGGCTCGGAGCCAGTCCCAGTGCTGGCTGGGTCTGCTGCGGGGGGAGCCGGCTCAGCCACGGAGGGTGGCTTCTGACAGGAACAGAATGGGTGATTTTTTCAGGGCCTTGGGTTTGGGGGGGGGGGGGTGTCTCTGCCAGGTCTGCCTGTCCTCTGGAACAGTCCTTTCCAGTGTTGTGGTGGGAGCCCCTGGGGACCCCTCCCCGGGTCCTCTGCACAAGCGGCAGCTATTCACAGTTGGCGCGTGATAAGTTTTTTAATATATAAAAGCTTTTTTAAAAAAAAAAAAAAGTGGTGCTATCTTTAGAAACACTTCCAGCAAGATCAAGTAGCCCAGCTACAGCCTTGGTACGACTTAGCCCCTGTCCCCTCCCTCCAGCCCAGCAGCGCTCAGCACCTGGGCCCTGGTCCTCTGCCCAGCCCCGGCTTGTGGGAGAGCACACAGAGCCTGCCCACGGGCAGTGGGCGCCGCCCGCTCCACCGGCAGCCGCTCGAAACCGTGTGTCACCACGGTCCTCTCTGGGTGACCGAAGCCAGAGAGAACATTTTGGTGGATGAAGCAGAAATCACTCGAGGGCTGGTTCAAGGAGGCCTCCCCTCCGCCACATTGGATGAGGTAGTGTTTCTGGCTGCGGCCCGTGGGCCGGGGGCTCGTCTCTGCCGGAGGGCGCTGGGCCCTGGGGGGCAGGCCTCTCAGCAGCAGTGGCGGCGGCAGAGCCGGGGGCTCCGTCCAGGCTGCGCTCGGGGGGTGGCGGGAGCCTTACCAGGGGCTGGCTGTGGCTTCCAAGTCCCCGGTCCAGAGATCAGATCTGGGGGACAGGTGGGAGGGGACAGAGGGGCCCGAGGGGCCCGGGACTGGGGGCTCCTCTGCCTGGCTCAGAGAAGCCCCTCCATTCCCCCCCCCACCGCCCCCGAAGCCGACCCTGCTCAGTCCTTTCCCAGCTGGAGTCCGAGGCACGGGGCACAAAGTGAAGTCAAGGGCGGTGCGTCTCCCCCAGGCTCAGGCCTCGCTGTAGCACTCATAGATGTTGTCCTCCATCAGAGCCACCACCTGCTCGAACTTGTGTTGCAGCTGGGTCCTCCGGGCAGTGGGGTTCGCCTCCAGCGCGGTCATGATCTGAGGGGGGAGCAAGGGGACGGGGGGCGGGGAGACAACACTGCCTGGATTTCTACGGCTGGCAACCGGCCCCTAACGCGCAAAAGTTCCGAGATGTGACTACGTGAGCCTGAGCCTCTTCTGGGGCTTTCCTGAGCAGAGAGGAGGTGGACGGGGCTGAGAGGGGGGCACCGCGGGCCCCAGGGTGGGTGCCTCACATCAGGGTACCCACCTGTGTGCGATACCTCTTGGCGTATTTATAAATCTCAGCCATGGCCACGTTGGTGTTGAACTCGTTCTGGTATTTCTACAAGGGAGAAGGCGGGAGGGGGGAGGGGGTTACCCCACCCTTCCAGCCCAGCCCGGGGGCTGGGGGTGGTTACACACAAAGCCCCAGCTTCCCACAGCCCCTCCCGGGAAGTCCGCTCCCACCCCTGCGCCCACAAGGCCCCTCTGGAGCCAGCCGCACCCGCGACTCCTCGGCCAGGTGCGCGTTCATCTCCTGCTCGCTGAGCGGCGTCAGGTCGTGGATCTGTTTGTAGTAGCGCTGCACGATCTTCCGGTACTCGGGGATCTCCTTGGCGTACAGGAGCTTGTTGGTCGGCGAATCCTGGGCAGAGAGGAGTGGCGGGGATACAGCGGCGGCTGGGGACCAGACCTGTTTCTGGACCAGTGCACGTCCCCACTGCCAGACAACCGGCCCCCTCGCAGCCGGCTTTGGACCAGGCGGGGGCTCTTCACCCCTCCCTGTGCTGCCCTTTGGCACAGAACCCCCGCCCTACTTTCTAGGGCACTGTCAGGGGATGACCTGAAGGGGGACCTGCTTCCTTTAGGGGGAAAGGTGCACGGGCTGTGGGCCAGCTCTTCGTTGCCTGCAGGCTGTTTCGTTTAAGATCCTTGCTTAGGGTTGTGGGTCTTGGTGGCGAAGGTTGCTGGAAGCCTGATCGCTGGCTCAGTGGAACATTTCCCACTGTATGTTTCCAACGCCCGAAAGCAAAACGTGCCAAGTACGCTCACAGGGCTTTGTCACAGGCATCCTGCCCGCGGAGGCCGTATGTGAGAAGTGATGGCATTCTCTCTCTCGTGGCCTCTGAAAGTCTGGGGCTGACGGCAGGGCCGGGCACCCACCATCCTGCACTGCCGGATCTCATTAGACCATCTCACTAATGTTCGCAGCATCCACGCTCTCATGCCTCCCTGCCCCTGGCCAGGTACTTCCCTCTGCCTAGAAGGCCGTTCTCCCTCCTCTTCCCGGCTCTAAAGCCAGCCAGGTCCTCTCCCCGCAGACAGGTCTCAGGGATGTCCTTCCTGCGTGCAGCTCAGAGGTCTCGGTCGCCTGCTCCCCCCCTGCCCACTCCTTCACTCAGTGCCCACTTGGAGGGCTCTTGACCAGCAGGCCTGCTGCTGGGAGCCTGGCTGACTCTCATGATATTGCACCTGACCACGCCGATTTCCCACCTTGCTACTGGCTTCCCGGGGCCTGGCTCTAGGGCCTAAATGTTGGAAGGTGGTGCTGAGCACAACTGAGGCGGGTGCAGAGTTTCTGACCACCGGGGCCAGGTTCTGGGCATCTAGATGCCCCAGCTGGAAGGTCCCCATTCATCCCATGCCCCCCAAACCTGAGCTCCTTGGGGTCCCCTCCCAGAAAGAGCCATGGGCCCCCTCTTCCCGCCCAGCCCGTGGGCAGCCAGCCCCAGAGCGGCAGACCTTGCCCAGCTGCAGGTCCGAGATGGAGCAGGCATCAATGAAAGCCTGAGCAATGACAGAGAGGCAGGCGTCGATGTGGTCCGTCTTGTCGATGTCGAAGACAAACTGGGGGTTTTTCAGGATGTTCACCCAGAACCGGAGAGGAAGGCTGTGGGATGGGGGTGATGGAGGCACCGTGAGCCCGCCCAGAGGGTCGGGCAGCAAAGGGAGGGGTCACTGAGGGGGGCTGCAGGAGGGAGGCAGCCAGGCGCCGAGGCCAGGCTGGCTTTACCCCTCCAGGCCAGAGAGGCTTCCCCCCAAGACAGAACCTCAGTGTGCTCATCCACAAAGGGGGTGGACGGCCATCCCTGCCGGGTGGGGCCACAGAGGGGCCAAGAGCTGAGGTTGCTGCATGCCTCGGGACAGGATGCCAGGGCAGGCATTGCAGGGCCCGGCTACCTTCAGGCCTGCCCCCAGCCCCCACAGAGCCTGCTGTTCTCACAGGGGAGCCTCAAGCCCGGTCCTGGTTCTCATTAGAAGAAACCCCCCCAACCCCGCCCTGCCTGGCAGCACACAGCTCCTCCCTCCAGCCCTTGCCCAGCAGCAGGAAGTCCACCATTAGCCAGGGCCGCGGAGCAGCCAGAAAGGGCTGGGGGAGGGCGGGGTCTGGATTCTTGGCCTTGGCCTCAGGAGGCCAGAGAGGATTGGTAATACCCCCACCCCAGGGCCACGCAGTGACTCAGCAGCCCGAAGGGCATGGACAACCCCCCACCACCAGAGCTCTGAGAAGCCCCTGCAACGGCACAGAAACTTCTAGGCTGTGTCACATCTCCTGAGGTTCAGGCTGAAGTTCTCAACAAGTTGTGGGGTTCTGTGACCCAGAAAGCTAAGAAAGACATGCCTTAAAGGAAGGCTCCGGACTGGGTATGGGAGTCAGATCACGTGGGTTTGAGCTTGGTTCTGCCCCTGCGAGGGCCGCCTGACCTTGGGCAGGCACTTCTCTGTGAGCCTCATTGTTCTCATCTATAAAATGGAGCTGATGGTACCCACCCAAGAGGAGTGGAGGAGAGAGATGATGCTAAGGGCAAAAGTTCTATCATGCTTGCTTTTGGTTAATTCTTACAATTAAGGTGGATTCCTTTTTATCCCCCTGGTTTTACAGCTGGGAAGACTAAAGCAGAGTGAGGTGAAGTCACTTACCCACGGTCACACAGCTAGGAAGTGGCAAAACAGGGACTGAATCTGGGCAGGTGGGCTGAGAGACCAGGCTCTGAACCCCTGCACGAGTGCCGCCCACACGGGAACGATGAAGCTACGCATCCCTCCCTGCCTGCCCACACACCCTTGGCCCACCAACCTGTTGGTCTTCCAGATGTGCAGAGTGTCAGGATCGGAGATCCCCCTCTTCTCAGCCTGCTCCTCCAGGAAGTCAAAGAAGTACTTGACAGCCAGTGGGGGTTTGTCCTCACGGATGCTCAGGATGGCCTTGAACAGGTCATCCAGAAACTTCTGCAGCGTGCCCTGCAGAGGAGTGGGGTGGCTGCCGTCAGCCCAGGACCACTTGGGGAGGGTGAGTGGGCACGTCTGGCAGCCCCAGGGAGCCCAAAGTGCTTGGGCTGGTGAATGGGAAAGCCATGTACCATCAGGATGGTCACCTAATCTCTCCGGGCCCTGGTTTTCTTGTCTGTGAAATGGGTTAGTGGAATCCTCCTCCCAGGGGTACTGTAAGGACTGATCCAGACACTGAGGCACAGAGTTGGGGAACTGGCAGGGCCGGGGTGATGACTCTGCCACCTGAGCTGTGTGACCTCAGGGACAGCACTGACCCCTCTGGGCCTCTGCTGCCCTATCACGTTGGCTAGTACAGAAGTTGTCTGTCAGGCACCTTTCACGGCTGTGAGCAAACCCCTCCTCAGGAGCAACGCGAAGCCCTGAGCCTCTTGCATGGGGAGCTCATCCAGCCCCGCAGAAAAAGAACTCCCCCCAACACCCTGGCATGGGCTCAGCTGATGGGGAGAAGAGGCCAGGCCCACCTTGGTGGACAGGAGGCGAGTCAGGTAGATCTCCGGTAGCACCTTCTTGCGGTGGCTCTGCCGGTGGGACTTCTTGGGCTCTGCCAGCTCGTCCGTGGGCAACACCTGGGAGGCCGGGGCAGCGGTCAGTCCAGCGCCCGGCACCATCCTGGGCCGTCCTGTGGGAGGTCCTATCCTGCGACCCACAGGTACCTGGCTCCATGGACGCCTCGTGGCACATAAGGAGGAGGGACCCCTCCCTGCTCCCCAATCCCTGGCCTTTCCCAGAGCCTGGGAGTACTCTCCCCAGAGCCCCAGGGTGGCAGGAAGCCAAGTCCACACCCAGCGAGGGCGGGCACCCCCAGGGCCAGAGGCCGGGCACTTACCAGATGGAAATACTTCTCTGTGTCCAAGTCTTTCACTGTGAGAGGGAAAACAATAAATAAACAAGAGAGAGGAGGCGGGAGAGAGAGAAACCGAAATGGAGACAGAAAAGTGGAGAGTGGCAGAGAGCGAGAGATCCAAAGCAATACCTGGAGAAAGTGAGAGTGAGAGAGACAGAAAAATGCAAACAGAGGAAGAGGGGAGAGACAGATCCAGAGAGACACATAGAAAATGAGACCGAGAGAAAAAGGCCATGAGAGAGAGATGTACACAAGGAGAAACAGAGGGACAAGGGGGAGACCCCCACAGGGGGGCAAGATGGCTGCCCTCACCCCCTCCACTGCCCAGCCCAGAGCTCCTGCCAGCCCAGACCTCGTAAACGGCAGGGAGAGACCCAAGACCCTGCTCCTGATCTTAGCAGGGGACCCTCTGACCAAAGGAGCCTAGGACCCCATGCCTGGCAGCTGGGCAGCTAGGCCTGGGAGCCTGAGGGTGCGGATGGGGGGTGGGATTGAGGCAGGGACCCAGCCCAAAGCCCGGATGGCCATGCCAGTCTCCCCCTCCAGCCTGGCAGCTTCCCAGACCTCTTGAAACCACATCCCGCCCTCCTGGGGCCTCTCTCTGGCTGCCCGCAGGATCCCAGCCCGAGGAGGCCTGGCGGCAGGCCCTGCCCAAGCAGTACTGGGGCAGAGGGGCCTGGCCTGGCCCTTGCCCCAACCAAGGAGACCATAGCCCAGCCCAGCCCTGCCTCTTAAAGCCTCAGTTTCCCTCTTAGGGCTGCTCAGAAGGGGCCAAAGCCTGGCCTGACCCCCTCCCCTTGTCCACCAGTGCTACCTCGGCCCAGTGTGTTGTCCTTCTTGTCTGTGAGGCTCATGGCCAGGGAGGCACCTTCAGGGATCTGACAGGAGGGGAGAGGCCAAGGTCAGAGGTCAGAGGTTAGGGAGGGTTCAAGTGGGGGATGGGTAGGGCTGGGGACCCCACCTTGTAGTGGGCCAGTGTGTTGAGCTTCTTGCGGCCATCTTCCACCACTGAGGTGTCATCCAGGTCCCGGAGGATATAGCTCTGCGTGCTTGAGGCGAACCACTCTGGGGGGCAGGGAACAGAGTGTCAGGGACAGGGAGCTGGCTGGAGGGGGCAGCACCAGCCTGGCCCACACAGGGAGAGACCTCTGGCTCTCTCTGTGGAACCTAGGGCAAGCTGTGCCTCTCTCTGAGCCTGTATTTTTCCATGAGTAAAATGAGGAGGAGAAAAAAGACCCAGAGGAGAGGGTGGTGGTGGGCACAGAGCAGGAAGTCTGGCAGTGTCCTCATCCTTGAGGTTGTTACTTTACTATTGCTGATGAAATAAGAAAAGGTACCATCTGTGAAAAGGACAGTGAGAGTCATGGAAAGTATGTGATCCCTAGATACTGACTCTGCCCTTCCAGGCTCTGGGTGACTGAGTGCCTACCCAACTTCATCTCATAACCTATCCCGGCCCCTGCAGGCCAGAACCAGTGAGCTCCCTGCTCTGAACAGTCACTGTGCCCATTTATTATCACAACCTCGTGCTTGGAACAGGGCCTGTGATCATAGAACAAATGGCAGCTTTTTGGCCCAACCAGAACTCCTATGCATCCTTCAAAACCCATTCCAATTGCCCCTCCTTGAGCAAGCTTTTCCTGAATACTTTTTGCTGTTGTCTGCAGCTTGCTCACACTGCAGTACCCATCTCCCTGCCAGAATAGGAGCTCCTTCGTGATGGGCACCTTATCTAATCATCTCCATGTCCCCAGGGACACAATCAATGTACATTTCCTGAGTGAAAGGAGTATGCAACCAAGGCGGGGGACAGTTCCCGCTGGAGTAGCCCAATGCTGAGGCCCGGCACCCCACCCCTGCCCACCGAGGTCAACGTCCTCCGCACGTGGCCACTGAGAGTAGGGCACATTCTTGCAGAAGGCTTCCAGAATCTTCTCTTTCACCTGTGTCAGCGTGTCCGTATCCATGGCCCGCACACTCAGCGAGTCCATGCCGCAGCCCTGGAAGGACACATTCAGGTTCTGCACGAGAGAGGAGGAGACAGTCAGCAAGCTCCTCCCATTACTACCCTGGGCCCCAGGCAGGGCAACAACCTGCCCAGGGCGGCTGGGTCATGATCAGGGTCAGGGTGCTCCGAGCATGAGGATCCCCCTCCCAGCCAGCCTGGGAGATGGTTCCCACCTGGCCGCCCAGCCGCCCGACTCACCCGGGGCTTGGCCTCAATGTTCTCCCGCAGTAGCCACTCCTCGTTGAGCGTGTAGCGGGCCTTGCCTGTGATGGCATCAATGGAGCCCTTGTTGATCTGCTGCTTGATGGCACACAGGAGCAGGAAGAATGGCTCCCCAACTGTTTCCTGGGGTGGGGACGGGGCTGTCAGGGGCTGAGGCCCAGCCTGCCCAGCCCAGCCCCCACTGCCTCGCTGCCCACCCTCCATATTCCAGCCCCCAAGCCTTTGGCCATGCTGTGGCCCCCATCTGGAACACTTTCCCCACGCCCCTGTACCAACACCTCCATGGCTGCCTGGGTAACACCCCCACTTTGGGATCCTAGTGCCATTCTCCCCATCTCCCCCCACCTCCCGTCCCCCACCCTCAGTGTCTCCGTGGACTCTGAGGCGGAAAACCACTGGCTATGGGCAAGCACATTCATTCGGTCATCCCAGCAACTCTTCCCGGTATGGGATATCATCCTCACTGCTGAGGCTCAGAGAGGACAATCAACCTGCCCAAGGTCACCCAGGGTGGAAATAGCAGAGCTAGACTTGAACCCCGGATCAGCTGGCTCCAAAGTCCTTGACTCTGCTAAGCCGCCCGGGGTGAGTTTAGGTGGAACCAGAACACAGGATGTGGTCTCAATTCCCAGGTTGGTGAGTGGAGAGCATCTTGGGCCAGGCTGGGCCTCATACCCCTGCCCTCCTACTAAGCCCTCAGACCTGAGCTTAGGGCCTCCTCCAGGAAGCCACCTTGATCCCTCCAGCCGGGTCCAAGGCCTCAGCGCTTGAGCGCCACTCTGTGGCCTTTATTGCTCTGTATTTTAATTGTTATTTCTGCATCTGTCTCCTCTAAGCCTGGGGGAGTCTTAAGGGCTAGGACTGGGCCTGATTTATCATCTGAACCCAGAGCCGGGCCCAAAGGCACACAAGGGGAGGGGGGGTTGATGAATAAGAAAACTATCTGGGGGCGCCTGGGTGGCTCAGTCGGTTAAGCGTCTGCCTTCGGCTCAGGTCATGATCCCAGGGTCCTGGGATCGAGTCCCGCATCGGGCTCCCTGCTCTGTGGGAAGCCTGCTTCTCCCTCTTCCACTCCCCCTGCTTGTATTCCTCTCTCACTGTGTCTCTCTCTGTCAAATAAATAAAAAAAATCTTTAAAAAAATAATAATAAAAAAAAAAAGAAAACTATCTGGAACAAAGCCCCTGGAGAGTGCTTTGAGCCCTTGCGGGAAGCCAGGCCTTCCCTGAGCTGTATAATGGACCCTAGAGGCCTGTCCCTGCTCCCTGAGCCCCTTTCCTCATCTGCACAAAGGGCGTGAGGACCCCTCCGGACGGAGCTGGCATGAGGAGGAAACCAAGTCAGATACATGACGCTCGCCCTAGGGAAGGCTTGGCAGGGGGCGGGCTCGGCCCCGCCTCACCCGCAGACAGCTGTACATGCAGATGGACATCCAGTTGGTGAGCATCTTCTCAACCACGGACTCCGTGCGCCGCAGCATGAGCTTTGGGTTCTTGGCGGCCGAGGCGTCGATGAGGTCCACCAGCAGCTCCTTCATGATGCCCGTGTAGTACTCCAGCTTGCCGTGGAGCGCGATGGTCAGCAGGGAGGCCAGGCTGCACCTGCAGGGGGCGCAGGGCATCAGCACCGGGCCCCGGGATCTGCAGCGTGTGTGGTGTGGGGCTCCGGCGCTGCCTCATGGACCTGGCGGCCCCAGGTATGTCTGTGTGGGTGAACGCAGCTCACACCCACCCGGAGAGAGGGCCACCTTCTCTAACGGCCACAGCAACCACCGTGCCTGTGGGCTCCTATCTTGGGCATCCAGGCCCAGGAAAGGGAGGCATGTGGGGGCCCGGTCCTGGGTGGATGCCTACTGTCCAGCAGGCAAGGCGATTTGCAAACTGTCCCGGGCTTGGGTCTGGCCAGGCCAAGCCAGGACAGGCTGTGTGGCCTCCAGCGGGCCCGTCCCTCTCCCAGAGCCTTGCAGCCTGACCTGTCACGCACTGCAAAGTCTTTCTGCTGCTCCAGCGCATGCACGAAGACAATGAGGAAGTGCTTGTTGTTGAGCAACGAGGAGAACAGGCTGATCCCCTCTTCCATGTTGGGCCGGCAGCTCTCCGGGATCTGCGGAAGCAATCGGTGCTGTCCACAGGGGTCTGGCGCCTCTGCCTGGCCTCGGAGTCAGCACTTATAATGCCCTGAATGGCTCTTTGAATGCCTCCTGGAATGGGAAGCTCACCACCTTTTCATGACAGATGTCTCTTAACTCCCCATGATTGGGAATAATGGCTCAGTTGAGTTGAAAAGGGGGGCTCAGAGAAGGTCAAGGGTGCCTGGAGGTAACCCAGAGTCCCCGTGCCTAGGACCCTCTTGCTTTCCATTCTCTAGGCAGCAGTGGAATGGGATGTCCAGAAAGGCCCAATCCTCTCCGCTCGCCACCTGGCTTGGGGTCAGCACTTCTAACACCCTGAATGGTGTTATACCTTGAATGCCTCCTGGGATGGAGGACTCAGTGTCTTCCAATGACTGACTCCAATGACAGGCAGGCCCTACACCCCGTGATTAGGATCAATGGATCAGATGAACAGGAAAGTGAGGCCCAGAGAGGGGTGGGGTGCCTCTGAGGCAGCCCTGTGTGTATATGCACGCACGTGCATGGGGTACTCACCTTCCACTCTCCCAGCAGTGGGTGGGTCTCCTGCACTGTGGAGCTGCCCTGGGCGTTGAGGGTCTGGGAGGGCAGTACATAACGTTCTTCATAGAGGGAGGAGCACTGTAGGGGTAGACCACCCCCCAGCATCTCAGCAGGGCTGCGATCTCCCCTGACTGGCATGCAAGGGCCACTCAACAAATGCAAAGGGTTACCTTGTAAAGGAAGAAGGGGCAACAGGCCATGCCCAGGGGCCTTAGGAATCCAGAGAAGCAGGGAGGGCTGGCCCAAGGGGCTTCGTGGGGGAAAAGGAAGGAGCAGAACCTCATGATGCAAGGTGTGCAATGCAAGAGGGCATGAGGCTTAAGAGGAAGCAAAAGAAGCTGAGCACGGAGTGGGAGAAAGAGCAGAGAGGCCAGCAAGGACCACGGTATGGCCTTGTTAGGGCTGCTGCATGGTGAGCAGTGTGGAGAGGGCAAGAGGCAGGTCACTGGCCACCAGCATAAATGCTCTGGCCAGGCAGGGAAGGCGGGGACAAGGAGGTAGCCCCTGGAACACAAAGAGGGGTGGGAGGCTTGAGGCAGAGTCCAGAGGGCAGGAGAAGGGAATGTAGAGACCAAAAGCCTGGCTGGGAAGGGACTCAGTGCTGAGAGAGGTAGGTGGGGCACCACGGGCCTAGGGGAGCCTGGGCCACCCCTGCTCGCCCCCTCAGTGAAAGGACAGGCAGGCCCTACACCCCAGGAGGAGAGTGGGGCTAGTAGCTGGCTTCCGTATGGACAATCAAACATCAAACGAGTAGAGAAGAAAAGTGAGGGGAAAAACTGGGCCCCCTCCCTTGGCAGATGAGGGCAGGTGGGCAAGGCTGCTGTGAGCGTGCATGCAGGTTATGCACTGCTCAAGGGGACCACGTGGCACCATGTTTTCCCATCTGCTTAAAAATGCCCTCTAGGTTGGCATGGCTCAGAAAGAGATCAAGGAGCCCCTGAGGTGGCTGGCAAGGGTGTGGGCTGACCTTAGGGAAGAAGGTGCGGGTCACAAAGTGCTTATACTCCAGGAAGGGGATGCCCTGGCTGCGGTTCAGCTCCTTGGTCAGATCAGTCATGTCCGTCTGCAGCTCGGCAAAGCCTGGTGGATTGGCAGGGAGCTGGGAGTAGCTCTGGAACCCATTGCCCAGTCGGCAAAGCCAAGGTCCACAGCCCCGCCTGGGCCGCACCCCGCTACCTTTCCGGATTTCCTCTCGGATCTGAGATTCCATCTCCTCCATCTGCAGCAGAGTCTTCTGCCAGTAGCGCTCCGCACGGCGGCTCTTAGTGCAGAAGACGAACAGGGCTGCGGGCAGCAGAGAGACAGGTCAGGCCTGGAAAGCACTTCGGAAAACACTGGTTGACACATGCAGTGCACAGGGCCCGGGCCTGGAGGGACAGGTCCTGCTGGCTTCCTCTCCACCTCCTCTGGGCGGGGTGTGGAAGGCGGACGGGTGCCCTCAGCCTGCAGTCCTCCCCTCCTACCGGGGAAAGGGTTGGGGAACACCCAGGAAAATAATTCTGATGTCCCATTCTTATAAAAAGAAGTACGTGTGTTTTAAAATAGTGGTAAACATTATAAAATAAAGATAGTGGGTCAAATACTTATAAAGCAAGTATAAAGGGTAAGACAAAAGTAGTAAAATTAATTAAAATATGATAATTAGTTAAGATACATAAAATCAACATGTAAAATGTGATCATCAAAAATATAAAATGCTGGGCGCCTGGGTGGCTCAGTTGGTTGAGCGGCTGCCTTCGGCTCAGGTCATGATCCTGGAGTCCCTGGATCGAGTCCCGCATCGGGCTCCCTGCTCAGCGAGGAGCCTGCCCCCTCTCGTGTACTCTCTCTCTCTCTCATTCTCGCTCTCTCAAATAAATAAATAAATAAATAAAAATATATAAAATGCTGGGGGGATGTGCCTGGGTCTTGGTTTAAGCGTCCGACTCTTGGTTTCGGCTCAGGTCGTGATCTCAGGGTCGTGAGATTGAGCCCCATATCGGGCTCCATGCTCACTGAGGAGTCTGCTTGAGATCCTCTCTCTCCCTCTGCCTTTCCTGCTCTCTTTCTCTAAAATAAATAAATAAATCTTAAAAATATATATATATATTTTTTATTTATATATATATAAAATGGGGGAGTAAAAACATAAAGCTCTGGAATGTGTTCAAAATTAACTTACTATCAGCTTAAAAGAGACTATTATATACGTAAGATATTATATGTGAACCTCACGGTAACCACAAAGAAAAAACATATAAAATACACAAAAGAAAAAAAAATCTAAACATACCACTAAAGAAAACTATCAAACCACAGGGAAGAGAGAGAAGAAGAAAGGAACAGAGAGAAACTACTAAAACAGCCAGAAAACAATTAATGAAAAGACAGTAAGTACACACCTATCAATAATTACTTTAAATATAAATGGACTGATTTCTCCCATCAAAAGACATAGGGTGGATGAGTGGATTAAAAAAAAAAAAAAAAAAAACCTATCTATAGACTGCCTACAAGAGACTCACTTCATATCTAAGGACACGCACAGACTGAAAGTAAGGGTGGAAAAACACGTTTCATATAAATGGAAATGAAAAAAAAGCTGGGGTAGCAATACTTACATCAGACAAAATAGACTTTAAAATAAAGACTGTAATAAAAGACAAAGAAGGACACTACATAATGATAAAGGGGTCAATCTGATAAGAGAATTATAACATTTGTAAAGATCAATGCACTGAACATACCTAAACATACAAGGCAAATATTAACAGGCCTAAAGGAAGAAATAGACAGCAACACAATAAGAGTAGGGGACTTTAACACCCCACTTACATCAATGGATAGATCACCCAGACAGAAAATCAATATGGAAACATCATCCTTAAATGACACATTGGACCAGATGAACTTAACAGATAACATTCCATCCAAAAACAGCAAAATACATATTCTTTTCAAGTGCACATGGAACATTCTCCAGGATACGTCACACATTAGGCCACAAAACAAGCCTCAATAAATTTAAGAAAACGAAGTAATATCAAACATTTTTTCTGACCACAACAGTATGAAACTAGAAATTAATTACAAGAAGAAAATGGGAAAAGGCACAAACATGTAGAGACTAAACAACATGCTACTGAACAACCAATGGGTAAATGAAGAAGTCAAAGAGGAAATAAAAAAATACATTGAGACAAATGAAAAAATAAAAACAGTCCAAAATCTTTGGGACACAGCAAAAACCATTCTAAGAGGGAAGTTCACAGTGATACCTCAGGAAACAAGAAAAGTCTCAAATGATCTAACTTTACAGGAAGTAGAAAAAGAAGAACAAAACTCAAAGTTAGGAGAAGGAAGGAAATAAAGATCAGAGTGGAAATAAATGAAATAGACTAAAAAGTAATAGAAAAGGTCAACGAAACCAAGAGCTGGTTCTTTGAAAAGAAACAAAATCGACAAACCTTTATCCAGGCTCATCAAGACAAAAAAGAGGACTAAATTAAATCAGAAATGAAAATAGAGAAATTATAACTGATACCACAGAAATACAAAAGACAAGAATACTATACAGTCATATACCAACAAATTAGACAATTTGGAAAAAATGGGCAAATTCCTAGAAATATACAATCTTCTAAGACTGAATCATGAAATAGGAAATCTGAATACACTGATTGCTAGTAATGAAATTAAATCAGTAATCAAAAAACTCCCCTAAAACAAAAGTCCAGGTCCAAATGGCTTCACTGGTGAATTCTATCAAACATTTAAAGAAGAGTTAAGGGGCGCCTGGGTGGCTCAGTCGTTAAGCAGCTGCCTTTGGCTCAGGTCATGGTCCCAGGGTCCTGGGATCGAGCCCCACATCAGGCTTCCTGCTCAGCGGGAAGCCTGCTTCTCCCTCTCCCTCTCCCCTGCTTGTGTTCCCTCTCTCGCTGTGTGGCTCTCTCTCT